GGCCGCGGGGACAGACCAGGGTCCTCCTCCTCTGGGCTCCCGGCACAAAATGGCTGCCGCCGCCCCAGCCCGCTCCACTTACGTTAAGGGCGGCTTGAACTTTGCGCAAGCTCCGTCCCTGAATAGCCGGCGTGGGGGAGGGGTGATACGAACGTCGCTACGCCTATTCTCGAAGTCTGAGTACGTACGAGGCCGGAAAGCCGAACCTAACCACGACAATGCGCAAATTGCGTAGTACCCACGATCTGACTTGGCTTCTTGCGTTTGGAGACAACGCTTTTCCTTATTCCCGAAATTCGATTGCGCAAAATGCCACTCAAGTAACCCATTTAACGAACGGGGAGGCAAACCCTGACCAAGCGGCATATTACGTACATTATTCTACACAAGTTTCGTAGCAGTGGCTGGTTCTGAGCTGGGTTTAGCGTAGGGGAAGGAAGAGCCTTCCATTTTGCGTAAAATTCTTCAGTTGCTTCTGCTCAGCTGGCCGGCGGAGGGGGGTGCAGAATTGCATGGTTCGCGTAGCGTATTGTGCTTGGAGAATAAGGTCTTTTTGCCTTTGCAGCAACTGCATGAGTGGGAGGTGGCAGCAAGCTGGAGAGACAATAATTCTGTGTGGCAAGCTGCAGAGTTGAAAAGGCCTTGGTGCAATTTAGCTCTGCTGCCTAAGAAATCCCCCCCACCCTCACCCCCAGGCTGCGTCTTGTTCAGGAAACTCACCAGGCTGACACAACATTTAAGCTCAGTGTCTGCTGGGGCAGAGAAGGGGTTGTCGTGTAAAGTGCATGTTTGTTTGCCTACACATGTCATAAAAGCGATCTTGCCGCAGTGCACAGACAGGACGAGGCCAGTAGCAGCCGCCATGATATTTACTCTCTCCTTGTTTCCAGTAAAGCAAAAAGAAAGGGGAAGGAAATTTAGCTAAATTAATGTAATTATTTACGTGAAATAATTACAGCCCCTTCAATAGGAAGGAGATTCCTTGCGATCTGGTCAAAAAACAAAAGTACAGAAGCATTGACAAGCACTATTCCACTGCCTAGAAGGTGAAGCTTGAAAGTTTCTCTTTTACTCACAGAAGCTGGTTCGATAAAAAGTATTACCTCACCCTGTCTCTCTCCGGACCAACACAGCTACAAAAACAGGGCAAACAATGCTATTTTGTGTGGTGATATATTGCGTGTTTTGAAGTATTGTTACAACTTAAAAGTTTACATGTTTTAGTGTTAATAAGGACAATATTTTAAATCCTTTCATAATCTTGTAATAATAATTGGCAAAATACTTCCTTCTCTTACATTTGTGTAACTCCACTGGAATCAATAGGCATTCATAGATTTGTAAATGAGAAATGAATTTGACTATGTATATTGTATTCCTCTGGTCCTTTTTATTCTGAAGGATACCAAAGTATTTTTATGGCCCTATTATTTTCCATGCTTCCACAAGTGGAAAGCATAAAACTCCACTGACCTGAATGCTGGGGAGCTCTGCAATGTCATTCCAATGCTATGGAAACACTGTCTGAGGGCAGGGTGCGGAGCTGCCAGGTATTTGCTTTGCAGGAGCATCACCCCCACAATATCTCAAGTGTTAGCAGCAAAAAAGAAGCCCCAAAGGGAAACCTTTGCATAATTGTTGTGCCTTACACAAGCTTTTTTGCCTCTCAAAGAAAAGGATCCGATCCATATAAATGATATCCAGGCATCACAATTCATACACCTCAAATTAGTCACCTCTGGTGAAGAAGCTACACATTCTTTAACTGCATAAATACACAGATGGGAGGTAGATAAAAATATGTCCACTTGAAACAACAGGGGAACTTCAACTATCTACTTAATTTAAATTAGAATATGGCCAGAACACTGGGATTACTACCATTACATTTTTTAAAATGGACAACAGATGCAAGCATTTTCAGTGAAGCTGTCAAATGATTAAAAAAATTGATTGTGATTAATCATGTGATTAGAAATGAATCACAATTAATCATGTGGCTAACCATGCTCTTAAACAATAATAGAATACTATATTTTTGAATATTTTGGATGTTTCCATCTTTTCAATATTTTATGTCAATTACAACACAGAATATGTAGTGTACAGTGCTCACTTTATTTTTTGTACAAATATTTACACTGTAAAAAAATAGTATTTTTCAGTTCCCCATTATAAGTACTATAATGCAATCTCTTTATCCTGAAAGTTGAAATTAAAAAAGTAGACATATACAAAAAATAACTGCATTTAAAAATAAAACAATGTGAAACTTTAGAGCCTACAAGTCCACTGAATCCTACTTCTTGTCCACTCAAACAAATGTGTTTACATTTGCAAGGGATAATGCTGCCTGCTCCATGTTTAAAATGTCACCTGAAAGGAAAAACAGTTGTTTGCATGACATGGTTGTAGCCAGCATCACAAAATATTTACATGCCTGATGTGCTAAAGATTCGTCCCTTCACACTTCAGCTCCCATTCTGAAAGCATGTTCCACACCTTCTCCCTCAGATTTTGGAAGGTACTTCTGATTCTTAAACCTTGGGTCAAGTGCTGTAGTTAGCTTTAGAACTTCTTTGTGTTTTGTCAAAATTGCAGTGAAAGTGTTCTTAAAATGAACAACATTTGCTGGGTCATCTTCCTAGACTGCTACAACATTAAATATATGGCAGAATGCAGGTACTACACAGCATGAGACATACAATTCTCCCCTAAGGAGTTCAGTCACAAATGTAATTAACATTATTTTTTAATGTGCATCATCAGCCTGGAGGCATGTTCTCTGGCATGATGGCCAAAGTATAAAGAGGTACTATTTTTTCATCATTTTACAGTTCAAATATTTGTAATTTTAAAAAAGTAAGCACTGTACATTTTGTATTGTAATTGAAAATATAGAAAAATGTCCACAATATTTAATACATTTCAATTGGTATTCTCTTGTTTATCAATGCGATTAACTCAGAGAACTGATGGGTAGGATTCCCTGGAATACTTACATGAAGGGGAAAGGAGTCCAGGAGAGCTGGCAGTATTTTAAAGAAGCCTTATTAAAGGCACAGGAAGAAACCATCCTGATGCACAGCAAGAGAAGCAAATATGGTAGGCAACCAGATGACTAGAAAGGAGTATAAATATATTGCTCAAGAATGCAGGGGAGTTATCGGGAAGGTGAAAGTGCAACTGGAATTAGCAAGGGACGTGAAGGAAAAAAAGAAAGGTTTCTACAGGCATGTTAGCAATAAGAGGGTGATCAGAGAAGGTGTGGGGCCCTTGCTGGATGAGGGAGGTAACCTAGTGACAGATGATGTGGGAAAAGCTGAAGTACTCAATGCTTTCTTTGCCTCTGTCTTCACGGACAAGGTCAGCTCCCAGACAAATGCACTAGGCAATGCAGTATGGGAAGGAGGTGGACAGCCCTTGGTGGGGAAAGAAAAAGTTAGGAACTATTTAGAAAAGCTAAATATACACAAATCCATGGGCCCGGATTTAATGAAACCGAAGGTACTGAGGGAATTGGCAAATGTCATCGCGGAGCCTTTGGCCATTATCTTTGAAAACTCGTGGAGATCGGGAGAGATCCTGGATGATTTGAAAAAGGCAAATGTAGTGCCCATCTTTAAAAAAGGGAAGAAGGACAATCGAGGAAACTACAGACCCGTCAGGCTTACCTCAGTCCCTGGAAAAATCATGGAGGGGATCCTCAAGGAATCCATTTTGAAGCACTTGGAAGAGGGGAAAGTGATCAGGAATAGTCAACATGGATTCACAAAGGGCAAGTCGTGCCTGACCAATCTGATTAGCTTCTATGATGAGATAACTGGCTCTGTGGATATGGGAAAGTCAATGGATGTGATATACCTTGACTTTAGCAAAGCTTTTGATAAGGTCTCCCACAATATTCTTGCCAGCAAGTTAAGGGAGTATGGATTCAATACATGTACTGTAAGATGGATAGAAAGCTGGCTAGACTGTCGAGCCCAACAGGTAGTGATCAATGGCTCAATGTCAGGTTGGCGGTCGGTTTCTAGCGGAGTGCCCCGAGGATCTGTTCTAGGACCGATTTTGTTCAACATCTTTATTAATGACCTGGATGAGGGGATGGATTGCACCCTCAGCAAGTTCGCAGATGACACTAAGCTAGGGGGAGAGGTAGATACACTGGAGGACAGGGATAGAGTCCAGAGTGACCTGAACAGATTAGAGGATTGGGCCAAAAGAAATCTGATGTGGTTCAACAACGACAAGTGTAGAGTCCTGCACTTGGGACGGAAGAATCCCAAGCATTGTTACAGGCTGGGGACCGAATAGCTAAGTAGCAGTTCTGCAGAAAAGGACCTGGGGATTACAGTGGATGAGAAGCTGGATATGAGTCAACAGTGTGCCCTTGTAGCCAAGAAGGCTAATGGCATATTAGGGCGCATTAGGAGGAGCATTGCCAGCAGATTCAGAGGAGTGATTATTCCCCTTTATTCGGCTCTGGTGAGGCCACAACTGGAGTACTGTGTCCAGTTCTGGGGCGCCCACTATAGAAAGGATGTGGATGCATTGGAGAGGGTCCAGCAAAGGGCGATCAAAATGATTAGGGGGCTGGAGCACATGACCTTCGAGGAGAGACTGAGGGATTTGGGTTTGTTTAATCTGCAGAAGAGAAGAGTGAGGGGGGATTTGATAGTAGCCTTCAACCTCCTGAAGGGAGGTTCCAAAGAGGATGGAGAGAGGCTGTTCTCAGTAGTGACAGATGGCAGAACAAGGAGCAATGGTCTCAAGTTACAGTGGGGGAGGTCTAGGTTGGATATTAGGAAAAAAGTATTTCACTAGGAGGGTGGTGAAGCACTGGAATGGGTTACCTAGGGAGGTGGTGAAATCCCCATCTCTAGAGATTTTTAAATCTCGGCTTGACAAAGCCTTGGCTAGGTTGATTTAGTTGAGATTGGTCCTGCCTTGGGCAGGGGGCTGAACTTGATGACATCCTGAGGTCTCTTCCAGCTCTGTGATTCTATAAATTTGAGTTAATTATGCAAGTTAACTGTGATTAATCAACAGTCCTAATTGTAATTTATAACTATGTGTGGTATATAACGTGTGCTGTGTATATGGATAATGACATCCCAAAGCAGAAAGGCAACAGCACTAAATCTGTTCAGTGTCCCATCAATGGAAATCAGCTGTTATGATGAACCCACTGAAGGAAGCCAGAGGCTCTACCCACCTTATAAATCAGCAAGACATGTAATGGCATGCCTGTGCACAAAGAACTTTAAGGCTTTTCTGTTTGGGACAAAAGATGTACAAGCCACAATAACAATTAAAAAGGCAGCCACATCATTCCCCACTCTGTCTTAAACAGGACTATCAGTGGGATGTGTGGCCCGGAGACAACACCCCTGCTCTGGCCCATGCCCAGCACCAACTCCACCTCTTCCCCCAAGACCCTGCCGCTGCTCTGCCCCATCCCTTCTCCCAAACTCCCTCCCGCAAGCGACGCGGTCCAGGGACTAGTGGGGGAACCTGGTGCGGGCAGCAGGGGTCAGGTCTGCCCCCACACTCAGTAATGGTGGCAGGAAGAGGAACAACCCTGCCCTAGCCTGCTCTGTTCTGGCAGCTCCCAGCCACATTGCGAGGGTGACCGGATAGCAAAAGAGAAAAATCAGGACTGGGGTGAAGGTTAATAAGTGTTTATATAAGTAAAAGGCCCAAATATCAGGATTATCCTTGTAAAATTGGGACATCTGGTCACCCTACGCATTGCTCTGCTTCCTGCCGCTGCTGGCAAGTGCTGGGGCAGGCTGAACCCCTTCTGCCAGTGCCAGGTCCTCCACTAGTCTTCTGGGTCACCCTGGGCTGTCTGAGGCCCTTCAAAGCATGTGGCCCGTGTGGTTGCCCAAACCAGCTCTGACCTTCAATCCTGCTTCTTGCCACTTTAGTAATTTCTCTACAAACTGAAGCACTGAACAAAGGACTGAATGACCCATTTGTAGCCAAGGGGCATGGCCTTCTGCAATAAATGACTGAACAGACAGGCTTGATGCCCTGTGCTGGC